GGAAACAGCTTCCAGCCTGAATTGGTTATTTCTCCAGTGTATGTATAAATAGCCTGGATTCCTTGGCTCAGTCAAAGGAGACCCAAACTCTGTATTTGACTCTTGGCTGGTTGTGCCCAAAGGAACATCTGCATCGTTGCCTTTTTATGGCATAAACTCCACCTTCTGCTCCATTCAGGGCCTCCCCTCTTGGCTTTCAAGAGCCTAGTTTTAAGGGAAAAAAAAAATAAAGGGATGGTAAAATTTTTCCTCCTCTTTTCCACTGCTATTGCATTTAAATTCTCTTTGAGGCCGTATGGAAGCTGCTGATTGGCTACAAGGATAGTGGGAACATTTAGGGAAGAGGAAGGGAAAAAAATGAAGATTTCAAAACTTCATCTTGTTACATCTGTATATCCCACCAGTCACCTTGGCCCTAGGGTGCTGCTCTGGCCTCCTGAAGCCATTGAGTCCACTGCTGAGGCCGCCTGAGGGCCCCCCCCCCGCCCCCACCGCGGTGCTTCTCTTCTGGGTCCTAGTTCTAGCAAATGGCATCTTCATCTATTCCCATAGCCTGAGCTTGGAGCTTCCCTTCCCTCACCCACCCAAGTTCTGACAGCCCTTCCTCGTGCATCTCTAAAATCCCTTCCCTCCTCCCCACCCCACCTCCTTCCCCTTGGACTCTAAACTCTCGCTTCTCCTATTGATGACTTCAGCAGCCTCCTAATTTGCCCCCCTGCCTCAGGCCACTACTTCTGAGTTCCACACTGCTGCCTGCTTAATCTTTATAAAATGTAAATCTGGTCGTGTCACCCCCCCCCCCCGCTGGAAATCCTTCAGTGTTCCTCATTAACTTCAGGGCAAACAAAAACAAAAACCAAAAACAAAACCAACCAACAAACATTTAGGATCTGACCCTGAATGTCTCTAGTTTGAGTTCCTCCAGCTCCTATTCCGGTCTCCAGTTATACTAAGTTAAGGGTACTTTCCAGAACACGCAGGTTTTCTCTTATGTCTCCAGCACATGCATGTGAATTCCTTTCTGCCAGGAAGCCCTTTCCCCCTCCCTCACTAGATCAGCATCTCCTGATCCACCAGCACTCAGCTCAGGTGCTGCCTGCCCTAGGACACACTCTCTAATGCCCCAAGTCTATGTTATTCCTCCTCCAAGCTCCCAGAATGCTTTCCAATTCTCCTTGTCTTAGCATATG